TAATGCTTTGTCAAGAACACAGGGAGGTCACTAGTCTCCGGAAGCACCCCCGAGTCACACGTCTCAGTTCTTCCAGCCTCAGCAGGTGGAACCTGGACCACTCGAACAAGCTCTCACCACCAGGAGACAGCAGGAGGCCAGCAGCAGCAAAGACAAGATTCTGGGGGTCCCTTGGTCAATCTGTGGAGGTTCCCTGTTTTCTATACCCTTCCAGTTTCTTCTCCTGCTGTCGCTCCACCGGCTCCCCTAGCTGGCCCTCAAGGTTTGTTGTTGTTTGTATGACACAGGAAGGACTCAGAGCCAAGGTGATCAAAAATCCATGTGTACCGAGATAGGTTCTGACCTGAGACCTAGCTATAGTGTGTTGTCAAGTTCTTCCAGCCCCAGGGTCTCTTCAGCAGTCCCAAAGCTGCTTCCTGCTGCCTTTGCTAAACTAGGATATCTGAATTCTTTGGACTAGGCAGCATCTATGATGAAAGACATGTTCCCCTTATTTTTGAAGTTATGGTGACCTGAGAAACTTGAAATTCCGTGAAGCCAGAGGGAGTACAGCACATTCCTGTCCCCTGGGCAGGAGCACATGAACTGGGGACAGGCTTTCCTATACATTTCTCCTAGTTACAGGCCAGGAGAATGCAGGAGACCAAGAGATAAGTAAGTGGGGGATAAAGCTCTCGTAATCCATCAGCAAGTGCCCTTTGGGTTGTGCATGTGTACATCAGAGGCTGCAGGGAGACACGGGTTATGTGCGTGTGTACATCAGAGGCTGCAGGGAGACACGGGTTGTGTGTGTGTACATCAGAGGTTGCAGGGAGACACGGGTTGTGTGTGTGTACATCAGAGGCTGCAGGGAGACACGGGTTGTGTGTGTGTACATCAGAGGTTGCTGGGAGACACGGGTTGTGCGTGTGTACATCAGAGGTTGCTGGGAGACACGGGTTGTGTGTGTGTACATCAGAGGCTGCAGGGAGACACGGGTTGTGCGTGTGAACATCAGAGGTTGCAGGGAGACACGGGTTGTGTGTGTGTACATCAGAGGTTGCAGGGAGACACGGGTTGTGCGTGTGTACATCAGAGGTTGCTGGGAGACACGGGTTGTGTGTGTGTACATCAGAGGTTGCTGGGAGACACGGGTTGTGCGTGTGAACATCAGAGGTTGCAGGGAGACACGGGTTGTGCGTGTGAACATCAGAGGTTGCAGGGAGACACGGGTTGTGTGTGTGTACATCAGAGGTTGCAGGGAGACACAGGTTGTGCATGTGTACATCAGAGGTTTCAGGGGACACGGGTTGCACCTTGCCACCCGTGCTTCCCTTCACCTTCCCCTTATCCTGGTGTGCTGGCTAGTTTCATGTCAACGTGGCACAAGCTAGAGTCATTTGGGAAGAGGGGCTGCCAATTAAGGAAATGCCTCCATAAGATCAGCCTGTAGACAAGTCTATAGTGCATTTTCTTGGTTAGTGGTTGATGTAGGAGAGCCCATCCCACTGTGGCCAGTACGCCTGGGCTGACGGTCCTGGATGGCATAAGAAAGCAGGCCGAGTAAGCCACAAGGAGCAGGCCAGTAAGCAGCACACACCCCCTCCATCCGCCCCCATGGTCTCTGCATCAGCTCCTGTCTTCAGGTTCCTGCTCTGTGCTAGATGCTTATCTGATTTCTTTCAGTGATCAACTGTCATCTGGAAGTGTAAACTAAATAAACCCTTTCCTCTCCAAGTTGCTTTTGGTCATGGTGTTTTATCATGGAATGGAAACTCTATCTAAGACACTTGGCATTCACCTAATCTTTAGTTTTTAAAAAGTGTGTGTGCTCAGGGAGTTTACTGTGAGACCGTGTCTCCTAGGGATGTGAGAAGCCACACCCATAACATCTCACCAAACCAACATGACGGCCTCAGCATGTGCTGAACAAGGACAACGGCAACACAACACGCTAGAGCAGAAGGGAAAGTACTGAAGGCCCGAACCCTACTCAAAGAGCAATGAAGGGATGCTGAGAGCAGGAGAAATACTCCTCCCCAGTAAGAGCACACCAACTGGTTAAGCAAACAGTCAAGTGTCATTATACCGTCTGAGCAGGCTGTATGCATCTGTATGTGCGTATGTGTATGTATGTATGAATGTGTGTATGTATATGTATGTGTATGTATGTGTGTAAAAGTATATATGAATGTATGTATGTATGTATGCATGTGTGTATGTGTGTAAATATATATACATGAATGTATGCATGTATGTGTATATGTTTGTATATGTACATATATGTATGTGTGTGTATATATGTGTATGTGTGTTTTAGGAAGTTTATGAGATAGTAGGTCTTTCAAAACATCCTTAATGTTAGTGATCCTTTTCCCCATCCTTCCTCTATTCTTCCCTCCTATCTTCCCACCCCCATCGTTTCTCTTCTCCCCTTCACTCTGGGCTTTTTGACCCCACCCCATAAGCACTACACAGGCAGAGAACACCGAAGCCAGTCCCAGCCCAGGCATCTTATCAGAACAGTCCTGGAAAGGCAGGCTCTCGTTTATCAGCACTTCCCAGGAACACTCGGGCTTTGTTCACTTGCTCCTTTGTGGTGAAGTTGGTCCTGCCTGCACCGAGCACCTTTGTGGGGTTCTCTTCTCCCCGGCAGGGCAGCAACTAGCTATGGCCTGCTCTCAGGGCCCTTTGTTGGGATGGTCACCTGCATGCTCTGTGTCTGGGATGGAATGTGCTGCAGGTAAAATCTAGACCACTGCAGAGGCAGAGAAGGAGGGCAGGCTAGCCCAGCCTGCTGCTTGAAGGTTCTTCACCAGAAGGATAAGAGAGGCACCTCTGCCTCCTCCTGCCCCTGCCCCCTGCCTCCTGCCCCCACCTCTTGCCCCTTGTTCCTGCCTGCCTGCCCCTGTCCCCTGCCTCCGGTCTCATGCTGTAGCAGATCAACCACCCCACTCAGTAGCTGACTAACTGGAAAGAAAGAACAATGCTGCATTTAACAACTTGCACAGGGCTGGGCCACCTGGGTCTTCCTGAACCCAGTTTTTTGGGGGCTCTCTGCAAGAAAAACTCCCAAGGTAGAGACTGTTGCTACTTTGGTCCCTGCTTGGATTGGAGAGCCCCGAAGCCAGTCTAACCTCTTGGCCCAGAGCCTGAGCTCTGCTAATGGCTTTGCTAATGTCAAGGAGGAGTGAAGATCAGCTAGCCTTGGCTGTTCTCCTTCCCAAGGGAAAATGCCAACACTGGCCAGCGCTGCACAGCAAGCATGGTCTCTCCAGCTCTGAGCTTTATAATCAATCTTACCAAGAACCAGACCAGCCAGTGATGCTTATACAGAATTCCAGATGTGCAGCAGCCTGGCAGCAGGGGCCAGACCACCCCCCATCCCTTTAATCCCCTCAGTGCCAGGTTAAGGTCACTCAGCAGCTGCTCTGCAGTAGGATGTCATGTTGCACATTACCTGGTTCCCATTCTGTTACTGAATGTTTCCTTGACCAGCCAGGTCCCACTGTCACTTCCACCCCAAATAAGCACACACAGACACATACTAATTTATAAACTGTTGGCTGATGTCCAGGGCTTCTTCTTGGCTAGCTCTGTCTTAATTATTAACCCATTTCTATTAATCTAAGTATTTCCACGTGGTCTTATATTACCGGAGAAGGGTCCAGACCTGTTACTCCTTCCTCTGTTACATGGTGTCTCTCTCCATGGCCTCTTTGCCTACCTTTCCCAGAATTCTCCTGTTCAACTAGTCCCACCTATCTTCCTGCCTCTATTGGTCAAACAGTGTTTTATTCATCAACCAATAAGAGAAACATATATACAGAAGGACATTCCCCATCACCATTCTCTGGTCATTTTTCCTTCTAAGCATCGGAAATGTTTAATGTATAGTGGAGACATTTAGCTAGCAAAAGGAAAGCAGGGGGTTAAACTCAGTGTTTTTCCAGAGTCACCTCATAGGCCTTCAATAAGTTCTCTTCGATGCTCCCCACCTTAATTCCAAGCTTTAAAGACCACCTGGGTGGGAGTGTAAGCAGTCCAGCTCAGGTCATCAGACTTGGCAGCAAATACCTTTACCAGCTGAGCCTTCTCGCCAGCCCCGAGATTTTATTCCTCAGACATAAGTACATCTACCGTTGTTGACAGATTTTTTTTTCGTTTCCTCATCAATCTTTAGGAAGCAAAGGTAGGAGAATCTCCAGTGTGAGGCTAGCCTGGGCTCCATAGTGAATGCTGTCTACTCAGGAGAAAAGGCAAGGGAACCAAGAGCTCAAAGTCTGAGCTGAGGAGATGGTTCGTGGGTAAAGTACACACATGAGGACCTGAACCCCAGCATCCATGTAAAAATCTGAGCATGTCAGTACATGCCTGTAACCCCAGAGAGGGAGACAGGGCACTTTGGTCAGCCAGTCTAGCCCAAATGGCAAGCAAACTAAGTGGAGATGGAGGAAGATGCCTGACACACCTAATTCACATATGCACACACATTCTCAATACACACACACACACACAGAGAGAGAGAGAGAGAGAGAGAGAGAGAGAGAGAGAGAGAGAGAGAGAGAGAGAGAGAGAGAGAGAAGTTCAAGACCATCTTTGTTACGATAGTTACTTTTCTTGAAACAAAATAATTGAGGAAAGTAACCCAGGGGAAGGTTTCTTTTAGTTTACAGCTGGGGTACAGACGTCATGGTGTGGAAGTGGGCAGCAGGAATCTGAGGCAGCTGGTCACACTGTGGTTAGAGTCAGGAAAGAGCTGAATGCTGGTTTTTGTCCAGTCCAGGGCCCTGTTCTGTGGAAGTGTGCTGACCACGTTCAAGGCTGTCTTCCTCGCTTGCTAACTGTTGTCTTCCTTCCTCTGTGAGGAAAACCCCTCACACACATGTGCAGAGAGGTATTTCATGGCTATCCTAAACACAGCCAGGTTGAAAATGAAGATTAATCATCGCACTTGGCTACATAGCCAGTTTGAGGCCAACGTGTCTACATCACACACACACACTCACACACACACAGCCATCTTTTTTCTCGTTTTTTATGAATTCCCTGTCATCTTTGCACAGGGGTCATGCTAATCTCTGTATCATTTCAGTTTTAGTATGTGTGCTGCTGAAGGGAGCACACAAAACCATCCTTTTTTGATCATATACTTTTCAAATATCTTTTCCTTGCCTGTAGTTTATTATATCAATTTATGATGACTTTTATGACAAATATAATTTAAATTTGACCATAGTCAAATTTGTCCACCTATTTTACATTTGTTTGTTTGTTTGGATGGGTATGTTGTTTTTTTGTTTTGTTTTTTTAGACAGAGTTTCTCTATGTAGCCCTGACTGTCCTGGAGCTTGTTCTATAGACCAGGCTGGCCTCAAACGCAGAGATTCACCTGTCTATGCCTCTTGACTGTTGGTATTAAAGACTACAGTTTGTTTTTAAATATCCATTGATAAAATATTTCTCTATCCATGGCCAAAAACAATAGTCTCTTTTTATTGAAAATGGTTTTTTTCAGCGCTTGGCAGGGAACACAGAACCTCACACTGCTAAGTAGCTTTCCCCCTCTGACCAATACCCCCAGCCCTTCCCTTTATCTTATTCTAACAGTTCCAACTTTGGCCTTGAATACTTAGGACTTTCACTCATGCAGAACTTAAGCTGGGCATGGTTAGGGAGACTTCTGATTTTAAAATGCTCATAAAGACACTGTCCTGGCCCTGATGCCTTCGTGCCCTCTTTCCCCTCATCTATTGGCTGTTCTCTAATGGTCTGGAGGAAGTGCAGTCTGTTGTTTGTGCTTTATGAACTTGCGCTTAAGATGTGGAGTTTAGATCAACTCCACAGCATCTGGCAGAGTCTAACCTTCTGGATGACTGAAAGGACTTGGAGAGGCGACTCTGGTCTAGTTTCCCATCTGTCATGGCATCACTCTGTGAAGCAGCCCTGATGATGTGTGATTGGGAATGACACTGACCTATCTAAAAGGTGACAGTGGATATATTTGCACATGTGCTCACATATGGGCACAGCCAAGATAGTGAGCCCGACTTTGCTTCCAAAGCCCTAGAGGCTAAAATGATCACAGTTACCTCAGCCATTCACACGGGCACACCACGTGTTCCATTTATTTGCTTTCTTTTGTTTTTCCCAGTTTACTCTTTTGTCCAAGTTAGTCTCTCTCTCTTTTTTTCTTGGATAAACAGAGGCTCCTCACAGTATCTCTGTGAATTGTATGTGCTATGCATTTCATCCTTTGACTTCTCATTTGAATAGAGCTCTATCTGGGTACAGAATTCTAGACCGTTTCTCAGCATTCCAAGAACACTGTGGTGTGGAATATTATTTTAACCAGACAAAGATGTGTTACATTTGTTTGTGCTGCAAAGTATTATTTTAACTGTGTAAGGTGTTTCCTTTTGTTAATGCTGCATTCGTTTAATTATGTAAAGATGTGTCACATTTGGTTCACCTTGTCTGCTTAAGCACCTGATTGGTCTAATAAAGAGCTGAACAGCCAATAGCTAGGCAGGAGAGGATAGGCAGGGCTAGCTGGCAGAGAGAATAAATAGGAGGAGAAATCTTGGCTCAAGAAGAATGAGAGGAAGAAGGAGTAGAGAATGAGGGAGGAGGAGAGGGACCTGCCTGGGACCAGAAGTCCAGCAGCCTCCAATCATGGAAACAGCAGAAAAGTCAGACATTCAGAAGGAAGGAGAGAAAGGTAGAAAGCTCTTAGGCAAAACATAGATGAAGAGAAACAGGTTAATTTAAGTTAAAGCAGAAAGAAAGCTAGCCAGAATCAGCATAAGCTAAGGCCGTGTATTCATACCTAATAAGTCTTTGTGTCGTGATTTGAGAGCTGGTTGGTGGCTTCAAAAGAAAAGGCCTTGTATACACTGTTCTGTGCAAGAGAATAAAATGGGAATGTTGTAAAGATATCAGCACTACCCTGGGCATTGCAGCACAATTCATAATACCCACGATGTAGGAATAATCTGTGTCCATCAGTGGATGAATAGGTTAAAAAATGGGACATACATACACAATAGAATACTGTTCAGACACAAAATATGTCACCGTGAAATACAGGTGATCCAGTATGATATTGTGTTACCTGATATGAGCTGCGCATGGAGAGGCACGTAATTTTACCTGTGGGAGGGAGGGCAGGGAGATGTTGGCCAAAGCACACCAAGTTTCAAGGATAAAACAGTAAGAAATCTATTGCATATCATGACAGCCATAATCAGTCATTTAGGCAGGGGTTCTCAACCTGTGGGCCATGCCCCTTTTGTGGGGTTTGAAGGACCCTTTCATAGGGGTCATCTAAGGCCATCCTCCATATCAGATATTTACATTGCAATTCATAACGGTAGCAAAATTGCAATTATGAAGTAGCAACAAAAATAATTTTATGGTTGGGGGTTGTCACAACATGAGGGACTGCAACCTGAGGAAGGTTGAGAACCACAGTGACATAGATGCTAAGGGTGGAAAGGGTAACTGAATGGGGTGATATGTATGGTGATTGGCTGGGCTTTGTAGATGGCAAGCAAACACATTACATCCCCAGAGCTACTCTGGTAGGTCTGTGCTAACTACACCATCCCTAAACAGATCAAGCTGGGTATGTGGCACACATCTGTACTGTACTTGGAAGGCAGAAGCAGGAGGACTGCTACAGGAGGAAGGCTATCCCCCAACCATAATGAGACAGAAGGTCTCAAAACAACAATGACATATTTAAAAAACAAGCCTAATAGCACCGGGAATGAAAGGGGGCAGTGAAGAGTTCTGTCTTCACTGACTGGTCATTGAAACCTGCTTCAGGAGACCACCTAAGGTGCAGAGGAAGAGTTGCTGTTGGAAAGTTTTATAAAGTCAAGTATTTTAGCAAGGCTAGTTTGAAAGCAGCCATCAATCACAAGGAATGCAATGCCAGCAGGGGGTTATGAAACTGCTGCTACCCAGCCGGCTCAAGCCTTGGAAGAGAAGCCCTGGGACCCTCCTGTGGCTAAGATGTCACCTAATGAGGTGAACTATATAAGGCCACGTGCCAGAACTTACTGAAATCTGGCAGGTCCAATAGAAGATTCTGGAAAGTCCTAGAACACTATAGAGTTTCAAGATGATTAATGTTATCAACTTGAACTTTACTTACAACCCTCACTGGGTTACAAATGAATCTAAAAAACATCAGACAGGACCTGCTGAAGCAAAAATGGAACAGGCGAACTGAGCTGTAGATCCCTTCACGGTGCTGGCAATGAAAGCAAGCAGCTGTTATTCTTTTGGAGCATGCCAGCTCTCCAGTGAGAACTTCATCATCTCACAGCTCCTTTTCTCAGGGAGCTGATGGATTTATGTTTTTCCCAGAAGGCAAGCCAGTCTCCTGATGGGAGGGAGTCTTCTGTACATATGTTTCTCTTATTGGTTGATGAATAAAACACTTTGGGTCAATAGGGAAGCAAGCTGGGTGGGACTAGGAGACAAGGAGAATTCTGGAAAGTGTAGTAAGAGAGAGGTTGCCATGTGATTCCAGGAGGAGAGGACTCATGAGTCTGGCATTCTTGGTAAGATAAGACCATGTAGAAATACATATGCTAGTAGTTAAGGGTTAATACTTAAGACAGAGCTAGCCTGTAAGAAATCCTAGTCACGAGAAAGAAATCAGAGAAACATCACCCTTTACAATAGCCAAAAACAGCATCAAATATCTGGGGATAATGTTAACCAAGGAAGTGAAAGACCTGTATATCAAGAACTTTGTGTCTTTAAAGAAAGAAATCAAAGAAGATACCAGAAAATGGAAAGATCTCCCATGCTCTTGGATTGGTAGGATCAACATAATAAAAATGGCAATCTTGCCAAAAGCAGTCTACAGATTCAATGCAATCCCTATCAAAATTCCATCACAATTCTTCAAGGACGTGGAAAGAACATTAATCAACTTTATATGGAAAAACAAAAGGCCCAGGATAGCCAAAACAACCCTATACAATAAAGGAACTTCAGGAGGCATCACCATACCTGACTTCAAGCTCTATTATCGAGCTATAGTCCTGAAAACAGCTTGGTATTGGCACAAAAATAGGCAGGTAGACCAATGGAACCGAATCGAAAGCCCTAATTTTAACCCACACACCTATGAACACTTGATTTTTGACAAAGAAGCTAAAACTGTACAATGGAAAAAAGAAAGCATCTTCAACAAATGGTGCTGGCATAACTGGGTACTGGTATGCAGAAGACTGCAGATAGATCCATGTTTATCGCCTTGTACAAAACTTAAGTCCAAATGGATCAAAGATCTCAACATAAATCCAGCCACACTGAAACTTTTAGAAGAGAAAGTGGGAGATACTCTTCAACGAGTTGGTACAGGAGACCACTTCCTAAATATAACACCAGGGGCATAGGCACTGAGATCGACAATTAACAAATGGGACCTTCTGAAACTAAAAAGCTTCTGTGAGGCAAAGGACACAGTCAGAAAGACAAAAAGGCAGGCCACAGAATGGGAAAAGATATTCACTAACCCTACATCTGACAGAGGGCTAATCTCCAAAATTTACAAAGAACTCAAGAAACAAGTCTCCAAAACACCAAAGGATCCAATTAAAAGGTGGGGTACAGAACTAAATAGAGAATCCTCAATAGAGGAGGCTAAAATGGCCAAGAGACACTTAAGAAAGTGCTCAACATCCTTAGCCATCAGGGAAATGCAAATCAAAACAACTCTGAGATACCATCTTACTCCTGTCAGAATGGCTAAAATCAAAAACACCGAAGACAATTTATGCTGGAGAGGATGTGGAGAGAGAGGAACACTCCTCCACTGCTGGTGGGAGTGCCGACTCATACAGCCTCTTTGGAAATCAGAATGGAGATTCCTCAGGAAAATGGGAATTAATCTACCATTAGACCCAGCAATTCCACTCTTAGGCATATATCCAAATGAGGCAAATTCATACAACAAGGGCATCTGCTCCACTATGTTCATAGCAGCATTATTTGTAATAGCCAGAACCTGGAAGCAACCTAGATGCCCCTCAACTGAAGAGTGGATAGAGAAAATGTGGTACATTTACACAATGGAGTATTACTCAGCAGAAAAAAACAATG